AATTGATTGTTCAAATGAAACTAATCTACTGTAATTCAATATCTATTTCAAGTCGTCTAGAAAATAGGGCATTTAAATGACGAGTTTAGAGTATACTACTCTATTTCAGCAACCCATATCAACCCATCTACTCTATTTCAGCAACCCACCAATTCCCTCCTTTTTGGTTGTAATATGTGCTTGCTCCCTAGCGTCTAGGGTTGATTTGCTTATTTATTAACTGGAGGCTTTGGTTAAATATCATATAAATGCTCTTAGCATAACTTGTACTATTACTGAAAAAAACTTGCTGCAATAGATGACTTGAGGTTTTAGATCAGACAGATTTGACAGCATCGTCATGCGAGATTAATGTTCTTCGTGTGGTTGGAAATAAACAGGGAGTTAATTATTCATGTTTTAAAATTTAAAGAGAATAAGGAAACTGATGAACAAATGTCCCCAAAAAGTATAAATGAAACTAGCTATAACATATATGATATAATCCGAATAAGCCAATTATCGCTCAATCAAACGCAATAAGCTCAATTCGTTTGGTGGTCCTTCGCTGATCCCGCGAGCGATCAGGTCGAGTGTCGGTCTAGACCTGGCTGTGTAATGATTAAATATTGCATTGAAATTTCCACTTATTTTTATTATTTCATTCATCAGATGCGTATTTAGTCATCTATTTTCTTCATATAATTCTATCCAAACTAGAAACAATTTGTATGATTCCTTTGTTGTTGACCCTCCCTGCCTCGCTGGTGGGAGTGATTTGTTTGTGCGAAGTGATTTGTTTGTTCGAAGTTGTGCAAGGTTATTTTATTTAGATATGAGAGAAGTAGCGGTGATTTGTTTGTGCAAAGTTGTGCAGAGTTAATGCGTGCAAGTCTCGGTAGGTTGATTTCAGATGGCTGGATCTGTAGTGCGGGGATGTTTAGAATTTTATTGTGAGGAAGGGTTTAGAGGTAGTTTTCTGTGATTGTAGTGTGGATTGTTTTAAGATTTGTTTGATTGTGTCTTGTACGGCTTGTACTGGTGAAACATCTATAATGGTGGTGAAACCTGAATCATGGAAAATGGTTTGTTTCATGAGGCGGTGTGGGTGCGGCTGTAGAGTGAGGGTATGTAGTGTGTGGGTTGGAATTTGTACTTTCTGTCTAAGTTGTGAGGCGTGAAGTAACAGCAAACAAAGACTTTGTAACGAAGAAAATAAACTTTATCGAAAAGAATGTGCCAAAATGAAGTCGTCAATGCTGTCTGGTGCTGGTAGGGATGCTGTCTATCAACCCTCATTGTGGCATTTTTTTAAACCATTTTCGGGACCACAGCGTACGTTTGCATCGCTTTAACCTAATTTTGGTGGCACAAACTGCGATCACTGCAGCGAGCAGCACTGCCTCCGGCCGGCAGCCATTGTCGCCAACGCACTAAAAACTGAAGAAAAGTTTGAGCGTGTGGACGCTCTTCAGTCTTCCGTCCAAACCTGGCATGACATGCAAGACTGACGATAAGTTTGAGCGTGTGGACGGGGCTTTACTCGGAGCTGAAAATTGAACATGAGCATGCTTCGGCTCACTCTCCATTGAGCCGCCTGCCTGGGCGGGCGTGGCAGGACACAGTTATTGGTCGGTAAGGATATACCTTTGATGGACCTCCGATGCTGCTGTCAACCATTCATTTGAACCCGAGTTCTTGTATTTTGGTTACTTCATTCGTCGGCCATGGACGGGTGCGGCTGCAGGCAATCGGAGCTACAGTACCAGTCTCAAGACGGTAACGCTTCCGGCGCTGTACGTCGCATGGACTTTGTCGTTATTTGAACATCTGTCTTTCCACTCGTGTAACAGTGTTGAAGGAAGCTGCAACTTGTTCGCAACGTCGGAAAAGTGTCCCGGCGTAATCTCTCGGCAAGCACTGCGCGCACACTTTGAATTGATTTGACTTGGACGATCTTCGCTAAACTGTGATTTCCTCTGCGATATGGATGAGCCCAGCCGAATTAAATGTTCAACTTTAGTTTAATATTCAATTGTACATTTCCGGTCTGGTCGCTATCTATGATTAGTGACGTACCTCTCATGAAGTTGCTTGTTCATTTATATACATTGTTTACTAAATATAAAGTTGATGCTTTCATTTATGTAGTTTGTTCATTCTTTCTCACTATCCCGTTGGGGTAGCCCATATGTGTTGCCCCCTCTCCCGCAACACCACGTTCAGTTAGTTTTGTAGTTTATTGAGAATATCTGATCAATCTGAAATATTTCTAGTTCTTGTCATTCAATGCGTTGAGGAATCATGCGTCCACGTTGTTATCAAGCAATCAGTATAATGCAACTAGTTTTAATTCAACTATTTCTACATTGGTGTCATGTAATGATTCTTATTTCGTATTTTATTTCATCGTAAAAATATTTACAAATTAGGTGCGCGTTTAAGGTTATTATGAAATAAGCCCTTTATTTGCTGCCAGAGTCCACCGTAACTTTGCTGTTGTAGGACAGTCTTGAGTGCAGTACTAGACAAATATTTTATGTAATCCATTCATGGTGTTAAATCAAGCAGATACGGCATTAAAAATGGGAACTATTTTATACTAACCGAAGAGCGTTGGCACGTCCAACTGACGACGAAGTTTCCTATGGGCGCAATCTTGAAACATCCGCTTGCATATGGAGGATCATCGCTAATAACAACGTGGGTGAGTTCGTTGGCGGCTCCTGAACTACCGGGGCTCGAGCCACTGACACCTGGGACCTGTAGTTGCCCACCCTGAAAAGCATACACTTCTTGGCTCCTGGAAATCTCAGCAATTCATTATCAAATTATATATTATGTTAGCTTGGAGCTTACTCCGCCGGGAGTGACACGGTGAGCTAAGTGTTACATCTTCATTGCAAACAAATAAAATAAATAATTGCAATAAATAATAGAAACGCAACAATGCACAAAAATTCATATACAGTGAATTTCATGAATCGCTCACCTCAAACTGTTTAAGAGCTTCGGGTAAAGTCGCGAAGGAAGGTTTGTGGACAGCAAGGAAGTTCGCACGGTCGTGGAGATTTTGGAATAGCAGGCAACTCTCATCAGATGCAAGAGCTAAACAGGTAGCGTTTTTATTTGGTCCCCAGACGGCACTGATAGTCCTTGCAGGGGGCTTATCCCCCGTCATCGAAAAGCTAAGAAGAAATTCTGAGGCTTATTGTCTAGGTGATGTAAGAATCCTTGATTAATCAGTTAATTTCATTCTAATTTTAATGCATATAAAATAGTTTAGTCATACTGTTCTCCAAGTAATATATTGTAATGAAATTGAACCTATTAGGATGTAGGATATATAAATATTTAACACTAGATTAAATTAATGCTGGAAAATTTTTCTTCACGAGACTTGAGCGAGTCCTCGAGCATTGAATCAGGATGACTTGCAACGGATCAGAGAAACATTATCCTCGTCTGGGAACGGTCGGAGACTTTTGGGGGGATGAGAATCTAATACAATCTTTTAGTTTTGAGTGCAGTGCACGTAGAAGTCCTTGAAATTTTGCATGAGAAATTCCAGGTGCTGAATTCATCATATCAACGAAGAAAATTTTCACGAACAAAAGTTTTTGATGATTCCGGTTGAATTTCCGAACAGGGATTGCAAAAAATAAATTTAAGTCATTGCTGCTTGATGAAATGCAAAACTTTATGTGGAAAATTATTAGAAATTTTTCACATAAGCCTCATAATTTCTTCATGGTGGCTATGAAAATGTGGTTAACGGAAAACAAGATCAAAACATTAATGTAACAGCATGAATTACAGTTTAATGCAAGAAAATACTAACCTTGATTTGTTGTGCAACACAAGCTTCCGTTTCTCCTCAAATTGGTAGTGACCTGATCCATGCGAGACAACTACATTACTCAGGATGGACCTATCCTTCTTTGAATAAACATATTGTAACATCGCCTGATCAGGGAAACGGATCCTGCCTGCATGTGAGGACGGGAACCGTAAATCCCGAAGCTGTAACTCTGAGTGGTGTGCATCAGTTCTCCAGGATTCGAGGATCAGTTCGTGGTCGACCTCCGTGAACCTGCAAATTTTGTAGAACTCAATCATCCACCAGTGAAGTTGGAGCAGAGCTTAACCCTCTACCGCCTGACATGAGTAACGGAGCAATATTGTCACAAGCCTATCTTCCCAAAAAGGATACGTTCTAGTGAGCGCAAAATAACTTGCACTGATGGTTGCCGCCACGTACGACTACTTCGAAATATTCTCTGTTGCGTACAAACGTACCCCCTCAGGTTGCTACACTTAATACTTTACAGTTATGGTTATAAGTATAAAGTGGTATGGTTATAGTTTATGGTTATAGTTTAATTAGTATACTATAGCTATAGTATTAGTATACTATAGTATGGTTATAGTATAAGTATGGTTATAGTTTAAAGTTATGGTCCCGGAGAGTGACATACGACGGAAGAAGGTTAAAATCAAGGCATTTGAGCAACGACCGATACGTTATTTTAATGCAGCTGTGATTGTTGCAATGCATATCAGCCTTTAAGTTATATTTTTATTACTATCAGCACCAATAATTAAAATAAAATAGCCCATGTATTTGCATAGTACTTCAGTCAATTAAAAAGTTGTTACAATTAATCATTTCAACAGCGCCAGGGTCCCATGAGGGCTACTCGGAAGTAACTCATTCTAGAGTCAGCGACTTTTGCTCAAAAGTTTATCTTATGACTCCGTACTCTACTTCAAAATAATAAATCATCATTTGTTGGCAAGCAACGGAAAGTTAGTCACCCCTGAGGCCATCATTATTTGCCCTCGCATAAACAATTTAAAGGAAATTTTTTAAAAGAATCTTCAATTTGATTTCAAGGTAGTGCTATCAATTTCTTAATACGAATCCTTCCTGCACTTATCGGATTGGCCGAGTGGTTAAGATCGCCAAGTTTGGAGCTGCGAGTTGGGGGTTCAAAAGCCACAACTATTGGTAAAAATTCTGGTCAAAATTGGCAAAGTGCCTGGGTGGTTGAGAATCGGTGACAGGCCAACATGGTCTAATCAACGCTGAGACTACAATATTTGTATTATATTACTCAGCATGCTCGTTTCCATGTTTTTTTATGCGAAAGAAGCAGTTTAAAGTAAATCAGCTAGGCTCTCACAAACACCTTTTAGGGTTTAAATAGTTCCACATATAAATTGGATAAATTGGATGTAGCAAAAAAACACAAGGTACAGTACTCACTGAAAATTTGTTCCATTGCTGAGGGATTGAACAACTCGTTGCGTCCGCGGGTCTACCACCTCAACCTCGTTGTTGATGATACGCACCAACCGCGAGCTGGAGAAAAATTAGAAATAATAATAACACAGTGAATAATATTAATAATAACACTGTGAATACAATTAATAATAACACAGTGAACAAAATTAATAATAACACAGTGAATGGAATTAATAATAACACAGTGAATAAAATTACCAACAACACAGTGAATAATATTAATAATAACACTGTGAATAGAATTAATAATAACACAGTAAATGCTATCTATACCCGGAAACTAAGAGTCCTGAAGCAATTTACGTGCAAAAACGTTCGATGATGACAGTTATGTACATCATATTTTCATTACCAAAACTGTCAACTGAAGAAATCCAGGCCAGTGTGATTGATAGTACACAAATGCTAATAAGATACACAAATAATTATCCGTTATAGAACGTATCGAACAAATTTAGGAGCGTTTTCGGAGGTACTTGTGCTATTCGTTGCACAGAACTTGAGTAACAGCAGCTAATAATTAAGCTACTGTGTGTTTGACTGAAAACGTGAGTAGCAAACTACCTTATCTCCAATGCCATTAAAGAACTTCTGCAATATCATACGCTGTTGGAGACGAAAATATTAATGTACGTTCTTATATAGTGTAAAAGTTATCAATTAGGGTCATTGGAGAACGGCAAGAATTAGATGAAAGAAATGTGTGATCTCAGCAAACGTGATTGATGTAAAACAAAATCTGCAAGCGTATTTGTTGTCCGCAAACGACGGCACCCACTATAACATTCAATATGACATTATGAAGCTAGTCCTGATCAAGATCAAAGGAGGAAAACATCATTAGTGTTGTCGTGGAAGCTGAAGCACTTCTAGGGTTTCAGCTCGGTGATACTAAGTGCTGTTGATTCTACGGGAGTGGTATAGTCAAGCTACCGGGGCCGATCATAACATCAAACGGGAATGGCCTGAGAGACAATCTTAAGAACCTTGTGTCATGAATGTGATTCAACAGTGACATTCTACTGCCACCTCTACGTATAAAAATTAGCTTGGTGAAAAAGTTTGCAACAACACTCAATTAATCCAGATGCTGTTGCATTTGAATATTTGATTACAAAATCCCCTAAGTAGAGTCTAGGGAAAATATGGGCAGGTGTATTAAATGGATAACAGATCCGCGAACTCATGGTGGGCATTCAGTGCGACAAGAGTCAGTTTGGCGAACACGGTGAACGCTTTTATTAGAAGATTGGTGAGATGAAAAAACGGTAACAGGGTTAACTGAGCACCTCAAATATGGCAGTTTACTCTTGGACAACTATCAATACATTTCATAAGACAGCAATATCAAATTGATATTTAAGTTCAGTGTGAAAAACATAACCAGAAATGAGTAATTTCTGTTTTGTCGTATGAAAAATCTAGAAATACGTAAATGGGATGTGGTTAATAGACTAAATAAATTTTCCCTTGCAATTCCATTTCCCTAAAAATCTCTCCTCCTTGACCTCACTTTCCTCTCAATAAAAGAATATGCGTCGCGTAGCAGCCGCCGATACAAAGCCTGACTCTGAATGTTGTTCCAGGGCAAGCGCGCCAGTAATCCAAATCACACAAAACAAGAGACGGACACCAGAGGCGAATGTTCCCAGCAAGGAATATAGAAGTTATGGTAGGAACCAACTCCCACATGAGATGTAACAAATTAATGATACGTAAACTTCAACCGTCACCAATAAAACTGCTTGCAACATCTTAGTGTAAAGCTGAACGTTAAATTAAAATCCCCTGAAAACTCACCCGTTGTGATTGAATTCCATTTTACTTGCAGCTATCCTTTTGAGCTGACTAGCTGACACTTCGTTCTTAAACTCCACCATATGCTTGCACATGCGCAGCTCCATTTCTCATGCGCAGCTCCAGCACGAATCGCGAGCGATTTCCTGAGCCGCAACTTCTGCTGATCAGTTGTTGGATCGCCGCACTTCCACTCGAATTACACAAATCAGTCATTTTTTTATATAATCCTTGCTTGTGTGCTTCTTACAATTGTGATACTTTTAGAAATTGGACATATAATCAGCAACTACAGCTGAACGCATAATCAGCAACCACAACTGGACGTATAATCAGCAACGTAAAATTATTGTAATTGGACGTATAATCAGCAACAATAATAACTTGAGCTTTTTATCAAGCGCCACGTGTCTTTAAGAAGAGCTACGTTTCCTGGAGAAGCGTCCCGCGCACGAGACCTCGTCTAGTAGAAGAATGAAGCGGTCGGTCCAGTTGGGCCTAAGCAAACGTTCGCCCACTCCTGGCCCGCCACAAAAACATGCGAGAGCGTCTGTTATTTAAACTGCTGGATTGTCTTTTAGACGCAAGGTTAATGTCGTGTTGTGAGATAAAATTATGATATATTTTCTTCATTATTATCTCTTGAATGATCGAAGCCGTAAATTTCATACAAATTAAGCTTTTTCTAAATGGATGGAAAAGGGTTAAAATGATACATATATCCGCTGATAATTTCATGCATTCTTAAAAGAGATCAAATAATTTGAAAACGATGTAGATACCAATTCGAATTAACTTTATACATGTGAATGTATGAATCGAGTTATTAATACAGTAATCCCGTTTTAGCTTGAACATATACTGTACACTTGTGCCCGAAAATATTCGTACCCCTTCAGAAATATAATAAAATTCCAATTTTAACGAACAATAGAGATCATTTACAACTTATTCTTCTAGGAAGGGTTGTCATTATTAAGTACAACAAATTTAATGCAAGAAAATATGTATATAATAACTTTCGATAGTAATTACTTTGAATTTTGTGAGTAACTAACCGTTCAGAATTATTCGTACCCTCTTATTCGTGATCATTTATAATAATATTTAAGAAGAACTAATATTGAAAATAGTAGTATATACTCAATAATTGTATTTCAAAATTTTGTGTTACTAAGCATTGTAATATTTTTCTCTGCAAAGTTTGAAAATATCATTTTTTTCACAATTTAGAAAAAAGCTAAAATTTTGCTAAAAGTTTGAAGATGGCAAAGAAAAAAGAGCTTAGTAATGATCTCGGAAGCAAAATTATAAATTCCCGCAAAGAAGATATGAGATATAAAGCAATATCTAAGAGTTTTAATGTTCCTGCGTCTGCAATACAGAGCATTATAAAAAAATTCAAATCATTTATCATGGTGGATAACATGGTTGGTCGAGGAAGGAAAGGAAAAATCTCCCCTAGATGTGCTAGAAACATACGCTCCATTTACAACAATTATAGGATCACTGGTGAGGAAATTCTATCAAATTTGGATGTTTTTGATATGAAGGTATCAAGACAAACATTGCAAAAAACAATGCCTCGTAACGGACTGAAGGGTTGTCGACCCAGGAAAACCCTTTGCTAACAGAAAAGCATGTGAAATAAGGCCAGAAGTTTCCTAAAACTCCTGTCGATTACCAAACCCCATTTTTCTCCAAGATTTTGTGGAGAGATGAGACTAAAATTGAATTATTCGGGCATATGAATGTTGCTTACGCTTGGCGAAAAAAAGGCGAGGCTCATAATCCAAAGAAAACAATCCCCACAGCTGAACATGGCGGTGTGAACCTTATCTTTTGGGGTTCATATTCTGCCAGGGGACCTGGAAGTCTGATCAAAGTAATCGGAATCATGTAAAAAGAACAATATTTTGATATTATCAAAAATAACATCAAGCAGGATGCAGAAAGTTTTTTCGTTGTCCTGATTGGATTCTTCAGCAGGATAATAATTCGAAGCACACATAGAAAATAGTCAAGAAGTGGTTCGAGGATTCTCACATCATTGTCACGGAATGGTCTAGTCAAATTCCCCATCTCAATCCAATTGAGAATTTGCAGCGCGTACTGACAATAGAGATGAAAAAGAGACAACCTAAAAATTTGAAAGAATTGGAACAGTATGCCTTGGAAAAAGGAACAAAACTTAGTGTCGAAACATGCAGAAACCTTGTTGCCCATTACCCAAAGCGTTTACAACAAGTTATCACGAGTAAAAAGGCCATGATATTAACTATTCATGCAGGGTACGAATAAATTTGGTCATGAGTCAGTTTTATGTTTCCTTTGAATCTCTTTAAAAAACTGAAAAATAATGTTTTTTGGTTTCTAAATACATGTTATTTGGTTCATAAATGGTTTACATCTGCTTTAAAGTTTTAGATAATTATTTTTTGGTCTATTTCTCGTAATTTGTGGAAATGACGTTAGGGTATGAATAATTTCGGGCATAAGTGTATGTCCTATTAGATGATAATGATTATTATCTAATGTGACAAGTATTTTTCTATCTAACTATAAGCAGTTTTTATAATTATCTAATAGTTAATAAAGCTGCATGATTGAGCCACTAAATTATAAATTTATTGAAAATGAGCAACTTCCAAGCAACATTTTTTTATTGTAAAATATTTGCTCAAAAACAATGAGCTACTGTTTATGCAGTATCTTTCAAGTTCTAGCAAATAAATTGCATGTGTTTTACTATTACCAAAACAGAAGTTAAATAAAATAAGAATATCTTTCCTCATACCCAAATAAAAATTAAGAGTGAATCACCTATTTTTTATGATGGCTATAGGCTGACGCCATAGGTGGAGCAGCTTTGATTTATACAGTGCATTAAGGGTGGCGTGCACCACCTTTACCACACCTATAACCTGCCTATGGCCCCCTACCCGTAAAGCTCTTCTTCCGCCAATAACTACCCATTGGCACCAGTGGCACATTGATGAGCCACCGATGGGCACTTTTAAAATGAAGTCGATAAAAATTTATAATTTAGTTTCTAATCCGATGCTTATGTATTTACTGACATAGTTCCACACAATCACCATCCTAAGTGCTGCGTATATAAATCTACCATGATAGTACAAGTAGCAATGTCAGACATGTAGCAGGAACAAATTTTCGGAGTACCATACACATACCTTGTGAGAAATCGACTTGAAGAAACGCAGTGCCTGCAGGATTCGAACTCCGGTCTCCCACACGCGAAGCAAAGCCTTTACCATTGAGCTATAGGAGAGGACTAGGCACTAAAGTAATTTTAAAATATTTGACTGAAGTATTGCATGTAGCAAGTATTAATTTCATCAAATGTCAGAAGTTAGTGCTACCACCGTGATGATTAGATAGTTCCATCAACAATTTTATTTGAACATGCTGCTAGATTCGAATAAATAGCCACTGAAAGAAACTCCGTTTATTCATAACGAACTATGGTTTAGCTCAGAGTAAAGGCTACGGAAAAAATGCTTTATAAGCACCGAAGTTTCATAGTGTGAACATTACACCAATTTTGACAGCGGTTTGATTCGAAATATTTTCACCAAGAATATTCTTGCGTGAAATAAGGAATTGATATTACTCGATGATTTTAAATTGTCAGGCGTGAATTACCTGCACTACTTGGAGTCACTATTTTTCTCTTGCATATTCTTTAGTCTTCTGCGTCCAAAAGATACCGGGACCACTCAAGTAGAAATTTAGACTTAAAATCGAAATAATTATCTTACTGTATGAGCAAATTTTCCTTAATAATTAAATTCCACTATTGAAGTAAGCGATAGAAAGCCGAATTTTTATTCGTATCCCTCTGCATAAAAATTATACTTTTTTGACAAGCAACTTACCCGGAAAGCACATATTTCAAGCAGGACATGGTAAAGACTAGTAGGAAGCTCAACGCCGACTCCCATAAACCCAACTCGTGTGAACTAATTGCTCGCTGCACTTGAGGGCTGCAGAGCCGCTGCGCTTTTGAGATGATTTGCCTCTGCCGACTACGTCGACGTGGCTTTAGAGTTTAGATTAGCGGGACAATTTGAGAATATTGTCAATATAATATAACACACTTAATCGATCCATACAATTTATACTTAATGATACAATAATTAGTCTGAAATGAAAGCAATATTTCCAACACAGCCAGTTGGCGCATACGCTAAATTCGCAATAAATTTACTCAATATCTCATGTGAACATAAAAAATTAGATTCGCTGTCATCTTTTGAGATACTGTATTTTTTGCGACAAAAATTTTCAGTTGTTCATAAGAAAATTTATATCAGGAGCAGTCTGATACATGCCCAGTGGCTTCACTTTGGTTTGAGAAATTTGTGAATACCTTGCTTCTATCTGTCAGTTTTACTCGTACCTACCGAATTCACGCTAAATTTCTGCTAAATTTTCCTAACAGAACTTAATCTAAAAAGCGAAGCACACAGAACGAAGTCATGGTTTCGTCTTGATCTCGAATGACCCGCAACCCAATAACACCTACGTTGGATAAATTACAGTGGCAAATTCCTTCGTGCAGTGTGCAGTTTGGGCAAACAGTAAACGGTGGCTCACAAGAGATTTGTCTGCAATGTGGTATAGATGTTTCAGACCATATAAATCATCGACGATGGTGTTTTATTTTCGATTTTCTGCAGATCTGGCCACCCACCGTTACGCCACCTATAATCTACTATCGCCACCTATAATAATCGGTGCGCCGCCCTTAATTTTTATTTGTATATTTCGCATTTTGTAAAGATAAAAATTCGAAAAATATAGCTTTGTTAACAGGCATAATTGAAATTCAACAAAAACAGTAAGAAACTGCCTCACAGTTCAAGATCTGCAAGAGAAACAGAGAGACACCGCGCAATGGCCGCTGTGATCAAGTCGCTCGTAACCGCTCTTCCAAAATACGATTAATAATAATCAAAGTAGAACAAGACTTTATGAGTTATGATAACAATCAAAAATCCTCTAACGTAAAATTCGCATACACAATAAATAGATTGCTGACCAGACTACTA